AGCGAAGCTTAGTCCCATGCTTGGGATCTGAGGGACAGCAACATCCCTTCCCCAAATGCACAGCCCTCTGGACTCCACTACTCAGAGCAGAGAGGTCCCTTCTCTGTGTTGGTCTCCTAGCGCTCAACAGACCACAGCTTGTAGAGCCTTCGTGGCCACAAAGACCTGGCTGGAAATGTGCGAAGTCTCTCTTTCGGCCAGGCCAGCACAAGAGGCTTGGCAGAATGTCCCACCAGAACCAGAGGCACTTGCACCACAACCTTCCCAGTTCCTGTGGCTGCACAGTCTGGATCACGCTTCCTAGATCTGGAAGATTTTTAAAAGTCACCTGCTCCACCAGTCCCAGCCCCAGCCCATGCTCATCCTGTGCCTGCCTGAACATCAGCAAGGATGTGACAGCCACATGCCACTCCCCAGAACAGCCGTTTCCTCTCAGTAGTGTTCACAAGTTGACTGCTTGCGTTGCATCAAAACCTGTTTTCCAGCAGATTTGCCTTTGGAAGAATTTCTAACCCATGACAGCACCAGAGCTGAAGGTGCTGACTCATGAGCTCCTTGAGACAATTGCCTCCTCCAACCTCCAGGTCTCCTTCTGAGCATATTCTGCTTAGACGTAAGAGTTTGTCCTGGTTAGATTGTGACTCTCAGACTGAAAATGACATTCCAGATGTGGTTTTATTGGCTTGGGGAAAAACAGAAATAGAAGCTCATCTTTGCCCTGGCACCAGATGCGTATTAATGCTTTCAAAGGCTGAGCTTAGAATCACCTGCCATGTGTCTACCTAACAAGACAAACTGAGGGGCACTGAAGAGATCAGAGCCCTGCTTACCCATCAGTGTCTGAAATTCCTGCATTAGCATTTCAGCTTTTAGCTCTGGAAGATGCTACAGGACAAAGAAAGAGTGGGACCACTGTCATGAGGAGTGAAAGAAGATCAGTTATGTGAAGGAGAGCACTAACTCCACTGGTTGACCTGACTTGGTCCACAGACTTGGTCTCCCGCTTCTTCCTGGAAGACGTGGAATAGTCCCCACCTCTCCAGAGCCCCGGGATGCAAGGCTCATCGCAATCTGGGATGACAGACCCCAGAGGTCTGCAAATGTGCTGAGGGACAGTCAAACAGGGCTACAGGGAGGAGGCTCTATTAGTAGAGACCCTGGACATCTCTGGCCACCAGGTGTCACTGCCACCCTGAGAACAGTGTCCCTACTTGTGGAGAGGGTGAACTGCCCAGAAGCCAAGGACAACTCACAATTTACAACTCCGGCAGCCCAGTCCTACTAGGCTGTAGCCAAGCCCCCATGAGCCGAATCAGGCTTAGCCACCACCTCCTGGCATTCGAGGGTACGGCTACTCCTCCTTCCTATGACCACCCCAGCTGTGTGTTTTCCATAATGAACAAGGATGGGGAGCTAGCTGGAGCAGCCCTCTGCTCACCACCTTCCCCTTCCCCGTCTGCCGGCCCCACTCAGTGCCTTCCATAGCCACAGAAATGAAAACCCTGGTGGAAGACCGCAGGCATGGACAGAGAGAGAAGCAGGTGAGCAGCTGGGCTCTTCCCAGTCATTGAGAGAGGCTGGCCTGAGGGGCCTGACTGAGGAATAGCACTAAAGCTGGAACAGCATCCAGGGGCTCTGCTGGCCATTTGAAATCCAGGCCAAGCCGGGTAATGGCATCGGTGCACATCCCTGCTACCTGTGCACTGCCAGGTCTCCACAGGCTCCTACATCAACCCCAAACAGGCTGACAGGACAGTTAAAGAGGGAAAGAGAGGTGTGAGTGGCTCGCCTCGAGAGGAGGAGCATTTTTTCACTGTCATTTGTAGAAAATTGCTAAAGGGAGTGATATGATTAGTCACAAAAAGCAGAGAGACTTAGTTTTGTGATTGTTGTTTATATATTCTACATATATATTCTACAGACAACAGACTGCACATGCACAAAGCACTCTCCACCAACCTATTTTTTTTTTCTAGCACTGGAGATCGAACCCAAGGCCTCCTCCCTGAGCTACAGCCACAGCCTTATTTGTTTGTTTGTTTGTTTGCTTGAAACGGGGTCTCACTAAGCTACTACATTGCCTGGGCTAGGCTTGAACTTGTGATCCTCCTGCCTCAGCCTGCCAAGTGCTGGGATTACAGGCATGGGCCACCACACCTGGCTCCCGCCACCCTCCTTCGTATACCTCTGATGTACAGTCATTTGCCACATAAAGACATTTAGGCCCATGACTGACCACACATGTGGCAGTGGACCCACGAGTTTACACTGCCCAGCGACCACACAGCCTTGAGCATGCAAGTGCATGAGACCACAGTTGGGTGGCCAGTGGTTAGGTGACTTAGGACTGTATGCAGGACAGTGGCTGCTATGTGCTTTATACTTTGCTAAGCCCTGGAGACAAAGTGGTGGGAAAATCCCGACTCCTGAGGAACATACGTTCTAGTGGAAGTGGTAAAGAAATGAACAGACAAGAATAATCTTAGCTGAAAGTGCACCCAGACAATTAAAAGGAGAGGTGGTAGCCAATGAGTCAGTGGCAGCTTTGGACTGCTGCTTGAGGAAATAGTTACATTGTCATGAAAGAGCAAGCTGTGCCATAAGGCAAGGGGGCAGGGGTGCATCTCAGAGAGAAAAGCCAACCCATACACAGGCTCTTCCCTTACCAGTGTACCTAGGGCACCTCAGATGAGAGGGAGGATGGGACAGGGCACAGAGGGGCCTACAGGAAAAACTGGCTAATCTGCTAGGGGGGACACTGGGTGAGGGGGACGGACAGTGCTTAAGGGAATGAAATACGACTTCTGCTCTGACCATGTTAGGTTCAAGATGCCCTTTAGATGGGTCAGGAAAGGTGTCAAACAGGAGTCATATGCGTGGATCTGGAATTCAAAGGAGTGGCCAGGGAAGGGTAGGTACAGCCGAGCCTGGATCACCAAGAAACATGCACTAACTGGGTTCTGAGTCCTGACACTCAGAGGTTCAGCAGAAGTACAGAGGTCGGTAAAGAAGGCTGAGAAGGAGCCAATGGGACAAAATGAAAACCAGGCAAGGGTTGCTACAGGATCATAACAGAGAAAGTGGTCAACTACACCAAAGGCCACTGCCAAGCCTGCAAGGTCAGAATGGAAGTGACCACCCGACTTGTGATATGGTGAAATCTAACCACAGGGCCTGATTTTTTAAATAATAAAAATCTTTCTCTTCTTTTCCTCCTCCCCCTTCCCTACCCCCTGGTGGTAAAGACTGAACCCAGGGTATTGTGCATTCTAAGTACAGGTACAAGCTCTACAACTGAGCTACAGCCCAGTGCAAGTCAGCTGAAGGTGTGCAACACTCACGATGGCTAATATACAAAGACATTCTGCTGCACAAGGTCACTGTCACCTTGGGTACCCAGAAAGAGGCAGAGCTGTGTCTATTGGCCCAGAAGTTCCACTTCCCCAGTATCAGTGAGGATGCATGTATTGTATTCCACTCAAAGATATTCTCAGAGCACATGAGATATTTAATTTCTCTCATACGACAAGTGGGAAAACAGATCCAGAGAGGGAAGTGACTTACCAATTGTCACACATTTTATTTTAGTCAATTTTGAAAGGGGATATGTCTTAAACTTTATGTTTCTAGGCTTTTAAAAACAGAATATAGAGCATGGACTAAAATACCAGTATTCCCTGTCTTGATGATTCAGGCTCATTATTATGTTTATCAACAATACTTCTATGCTATCATTCTGTGACTGCCTAAAGTCTCGTGCGATTTGCTTCTAGCCTAAGTAGTCCAGATTATTTTCTATTGTTTCTTCTCCCCCATCTAGGACAGGGCTGTCAGCCTTTTCTTCTTTCTTATTGGAGAATTTCTAGAACCCAACTACTTTGCTTCTGAGTCAGTATAATCTTTGGGTACAGTATAATCATGTTAAAGCACTTATCTTCCAAAAAGGGAGCGATAATCCCCAAACGTAGGGTTGTGGGGATCCAAGCCCACTCTGTTTACTTAACATAATAAAACCAGTTAACCTTTACTGAGTGCCTCATTTTGCGCTATGCCACATTTTAGATTCTTCATTTATTTCCCATAACAACCCTGTGAAATAGGGGCTGTAGTTAGCTTTCCTGAGGCACAGTTAAGAACCTTGACCACTGACACAAAGTCAATGCACGCAGGGTTTGGAAATCAAATTGGCTAGTTTTCATTTCAAAGCCAACGTTCTGAACCATTATTCTATTGTACTTCCCTATCTGAAGTTGGCTTTTGAAGGAAAGATTTCTGATTTACAAATGATAAAACCTGAGTTCCAAAATGGGGTTAATCCTCCCCACCTCCAGTTATACAGCTGTTTAGAGAAAAAGCCAGACTAGGGCTCAGTTGTTTGATTCATTATTCTGAATTCTTACCACTTCATTATACAAAAGTCCAGTGGAGGGAAAAGCTTGGGAACATTTTTGAAACTTGAGATGCCTCCTTCATGTAACATTTGGTCTGTGCTCTCTCCCCATTTCTCAGGCCTACTGTAGAGCCACGGGGCCTCATGGTCCACAAAAACTTCAGTGTGGCTTTCCCAGCTGACCGGTGGCTGGCACACAGTCACTGGGATGAGTCACGTCACCTGAAGAACGACATCTCCTCTCCCTTAGGAAGAAAAGCAGATTTTTTCATTTGAGTTTTGCCTTGAGACTCTCTCGCAGAATGAGGGACCTAACTCCCATTTTCACAAATCATCAGATTTCTCAGAAAGATCCTCCTTTCTTTACATAGGTGTTGTGAACAGCTAGTGAGTGCTCTGACCCAGCCCTTCCTCAGAAGCCTCCCAGTTTAAAAATGCAGAGTCCCTGGGAGATAACCAGGCCTCCAGAGGGACGGTGAGAAAGAAGACAGAAGGAAAGGCTCCTTAGATTCCATCCAGGCCTGTGGGCATCCAACCTCTACACGTCCTAGAGCCTCAGCATCTGTAGCAGCCATTCCTGGCTCTTTGGCATCTCTCCGCAGCTGCTTACCTGTGGCTGCTGGGTGGTCAAGGGTCTCTGAGGAGACAGGACCGGAGTCCTGGACAGCAGCTGGTTCATCTTGCTGATGATCAGCTCGGTGATGAGCTGTCTGTCCTCTGCTTGGTGTTCCCCGATCAGTGGCATGCTACAGTCCATGACCTGGTGGAAGATGTGGCCCAGGTAAGGAAAGGGTCTGGAAACATAAAAGTCCTCACATGGTTTTTCTGATTGGTGCACTGTAAGCCAGCAAAGACACACAGGTGATGAAGCAGGTGTCCTTGTCTTCAACTGGAAGCAATTTCCTTAGCAGACATTGGCCTTTTGTCTCCTCCTCCTGTAAACCTTGGCCTTGGGCCCCTTCCCTTTACCTCCACCCAGCCAGGGCTCAGTGAGAAGGAGACTGCAGGCTAGAGATAGTGGGAAGTGCAGAGAGCAAGGAGAGGGTACAGCCAACCTCAGAGTAGCCCACAGTGGAGCAGGAAGACATGAAGGACATTTCCTTAAGTCTCTGATGAACAGGAGGCAGTTTTCATCCCCGTGACTTAAACTGGTACCATCTCTGTCTCCCCAGCACATTCTGCTCATTGAATGACTAGACTCTTGCCCTTGTTCCTGACCTGGGTGGCCTTCCCTGATTTCCACTAATCCTTTTCCTTCCTCTGTCTTGTGGTCCAGATCAATAATTTCCTCTATGAGGAAATGATTGCCTTGCGGCTCAGACTCTCATTTATGGAAGAGAAACCTGAGGCCCCGTTGGAGTGGGGAGGTGTGGCCAACCAGAGGCTGCATGCTAAGCAGGCCACAGGGCAGATTCCAAACCTAAACCCACCTTGGGCTCCTCATACTAGTACTCTGGAAGCACCACCAACTCCTGGCAAGGAAGACTGGGCAGCAGTGAAGAATTTACACAGCTGAGGATTCCCTTCTGATACAGGAAAAAAAGAGTGAGCAAATTCTGAGAGAAACAGGCTGAGTAAACTGTCTCCAAGGCTCTGAGAGATGCTGAGAAGAATCTCCTACATCCAGGTGTCCAGGCTGAGACACCCATTCGTCCTGTGGCATGAGGCACATGCCCGAGGCGTTAGGCCTCCGTTGTCTCCGTTGGAAATGAGCAGGCTGGACCAACTGACCTGAAGACAGCTCTCTAAGACTAAGAATGTGAAAATCCCAACAGATTCAAAGAGGAGTGCATCAGGTTGAGATCCCAGGAACCCAGAGCTGGCATCCATTGCCCATGGCCTGGGTTAGCTGAGCAGGCTGAAACCATAGAGTCTCTTCCCACTTGTGGAGGGATCTTGCTATGTGGATCTGCCATCTGGGACCTTCTCATAACTCAGGAGACTTTAAACTAAATGCCGTCTGGGCTGCCCCACATAGTTTTCCAGCCAAAAGTGTGGCATGAGGCCCTGAGAGCTATTTCTTATTGAGATACTCTGTGGACCAGACTTACCTCAAAAATGTAGTCTTTCCCATCTTTGCCATGTACAGCTTTGACAGCACAGATATCAAGGCCACCAAACATCTCAGAGCAGGTGTCCACCCACAGCTTGTACCTGGTGGGGATGGAAAGGGGTCCTGAGATGAGGGCCTTAGCTCATTGTAGGCATGCTTGCCAACCAGGCTGTCCTGTTGCCTCCACCTCTCCTGTTCCCCATCCCCAACCCCCAACCCTTTCAAGCATGGTCCCTTATTTACAATGCCTTCCCTCTCTGCTCTCCTGTTCGTACTCATCTTTCCAAGCCCAAAAGAGGTCTCTCCTCTGCTAGACCTTCCTTGGCTATCCCAGTCCATACTAACTACTACTCCTTTCTCAGTGCTTCTGTAGTAGGCACAGTCTTTATCTCCATAGCTGAGCACGTGAGTGGGTCCTGCCCAGTCTGGCTAACTGGCTGCTGGGGCCTCTGCGTCTTCTGTATCCTCTCTTTGAGGAGGCTGCCTTGGGCAGGCTCATTTCTTGTTTCTTCCGCATGGAGGCTGCCTACTCACTGGGGCTCAGGCGCCTCTCACTCACCTGTCTGACATGGCGATCTGCTCCAGCATTGCAGAGCCAGTGTTCGTCTTCCAGTTCCCTGAGATCGATGTCCTCCTACAACAAGGTCCACCAGGGATAGGAAAGGCCATGAGCCACACCAGCAAGAGGAGAGTGTGCAGCCTTCCAGAATTTGGCTCACTGCCTCTCGCGCCAACAGGCTCACACTGGACAGCTGTCTGCTGAGCTTCAAGCCCACTGCCTTGCCAAACCCTACCTGGGAAGCCCTCCTTTCTCTACAAGGGTCTAGCTCAGGAGGGTCTGACTCCATGGAGCTTGTACTGATCTTCAACCAGATGAGCTCTTGCTCCCCCTCAGGATTTTACCTATGCCTTAGTGATGACCTTACCTCTACTTCTTTCCTTAGTTATTGGAGCTGAGTTTTAAGCCAAGACTGTCCACAGCTGTGGAAAACACCCGAGGGCCACACTGTGTCTTGTACCCGCAGCAGCCTATTGCTCAGCATCTGGGCCCACTCGGTATGCGCAAATCGAACCCCACTCATCCTGGGAACTCCTGCAGTGTCCTGTGAGTATGGCCCAGTGTCTTCCTTACTGGCACACTCACCCAGTCACCCAACAGGCTACTTCTGAGGGCCACTACAAGCTCAGCACTGTGATCTGGAAGTCAGTAACACCCCACCCCCACCCCCAGCTGCCTCATCCATCAAACCGAACTGACAGCATCCAGCCACCAGCCTCTGTTGTGCTCACTGCACCCTCCAGCCATGGGCACAAGCTATGTCGATTAGTTTGGGCCCAAAAGGAGGCAGATGACCAGGTTTCTGGTTCTGGATTTTCTCTGGACTGGCTGGCTGACCATTGGAGAGTCACTTCACCTCACTGAGCTGTTCTTATCTGTAAACTCAGGGTTGCAGATTGGTACTCAGGGATCAACTGGGACAGGTTTAAGTAAACTGCAAAGCACTAAGAATATATCTCTTAAATTCTTAGTCTTCACCTAGACACAGTCAAAGACAAAGGGATGCTCTGGGGAACAGAAGGGTTCTCCCCAGAGAACTGACTCTAGACAGGAGAAGCTGTATATCTGCCCAGATTTCCCAAGCCCTGAGGCAGCCCTGTGAGCCTACTATGGGGAATGACAGGTCTCATACTGGATGGTGCTGAGGCTTCCAAGGTGCCTCCTCACCCATCCCTCAAAGAAGCCTCCTGTCAAAGTCCTGCTGTGAGAGGCTAGAATTCTGGCCTGCTTTACTGACACGCACACGAAGACCCAGAAAGTCTGTGTGACTGTCCAACAGTCAAAGCAGATATGGATACAAATCCAGGAATCTTGGTTCCCTCGGTGTGATGGGCTTTCCCTCTACCCAAACAAATAAACAGCTGAATGGTTTGCAAAGCCTGAGTAGAAACACAGAGCCAAAAGCCACACTAAAAACAACTCTGCATTCCTAACAGCAGTGGTTTACAAATACAGTATGTCCTCGTGACTATTCTCAAGGCACTCACTTCCTTGTCCCCAGCACTGAGGTATGAAACCTGTCAGAGATTGAGAAACTAATGTAAGTAATAATAATGTCTCTTCCATTTGAGCAGCACTGTAAAGCCTGCAAAGTCCCCTGAGTCCCCTCATCTGAGCTCTGCTAAGTCAATTCTTTCTTCTGAGAGCAGAGATGGCCACAAGCCTGGGGAGAGGTGAGACAGGGAGAAGCGGAGAGGGTCTAAACGTTCCTTCCAATCACTGCTGGTCCGTTGCAAAACAAAAACAAAAAACCCACACAATCAGAATATGCATTCTTTTTGGCTGCACATGGGTCATTCTCCAAAAAGTGGATACACGCTGAGGCCACACTCTTAGGTGAAATTAATAGGACACACATTTGTAAATACCAAATAGTTTCTCTGGTGTGAAAATATACAAGTATAAATGAGGATCAAAATGTATAATTGATATTATGTAATAGGAAGAAAAGGTCTAAAGGAGTAGGGGAAGTGGGAGGGGTAGGGGAAAGGTAAGAAGGGAAAAGAAAAAATATGAGAAAAGGAAAAATATGGGAACAAAGTCTTTGTAAATAGGTAGGGTGGAGGGGGTGAAGGGAGGGCAGGGGAAGGGACAAAAAATAAGAACCAAGATACGTTATGGAAAGGTGCAAGATCCCAGCGATTAAAGTAACTGTATTGTATACCTAAATTGTACCAATAAAGTTAATGGAAAAAAACCAAAAAAACAAAAACAAGTCAATGTCCCCCAAAGCTTCTCCAGTTGGCCACTTTCTGTCAACATCTGGGACTTCCCATGCTTCATTTAAATTGTGTTTAGAAGCCCTATGTCTTAAAAATGTGGTGTCTCTCTTTAAGGATCACAATTCTTGTTCCACTATTGTCATCAATAAATGTTGTTTAGTTATTCATTTATTCGCGTATGTTAGTGGTAGGAAGGTGGGAACCCAGGGACTCATGCATACTAGGCAAGAGCTGTACTACTGAGCTACATTCTAAAAGAAAATATCTGCTTTCCTAAATATATGAAAATATCTAGTTTTCTGCTTCTTTTGGCTAGTTTTGAGAAAGGTCTTTAAGCTATTCATCTTATATTGTGCCTGTTTCTTAAGCAACCCTAGAAGCCTTTTCTGAAGTGGGAAGACCATAATCATAAAATTACAGACTTTTAAAAAGTTGGAATCCAGTCAATAAGTGTGAAAAAAAAAATCCCTCTATGTTGGGAGTGCAGCACCATGGTAGAGAGGTAGAGTGTGTACTTAGTTGGTGTTAGGTTCTGGGTTTAATCTTCAGCACCAAACCAAACAGAAGAAGCTCTGTACATCAGTTCTCCGCAAGGGCCCCTTCCTGTGTGTGCACGGTGCTTACTGTGTGCGTGCTGCTATGCAAGGTGCAGGCTCCATCCTGCTTGCCTGCCAGGACCTGTGTGTGGGAGGAGCACAAGACAAAACGCCTGTGCTAAAGGTGTAGGACAAACTACAAGGAAGCAGCCTCTCACAAATTCCAGGGCTTTGGGAAGAGGAGGATGAAGGCATGAAAAGACAGACAACTGAGAAGGGGCAGAAGCCTCCACCCTGATGTCTGCTGAAGTCCCAGAGGGCAAAGATCAAATTCCTATTAATAGTGTTCCTTCTCTGTAATGAAAATATCATGTTAAATGTTCTCTAAAGTGGGAAATCAGTATTTCCAAACTTGGAAGTATGAGCCACTCGCATTCTTGTGTGTTTTACGGAAGGGAAGGGAGTGTTGTGTTTCAAAGGAGGGAGTAGTTAACTTTCCATTCTGCTAAATGGGCCCCTGCGTTCTTGTCACCACTAAGATTGAATGCTGTGTAGCATTTTGAGGGCTCAGTATTTACAAGTTAAATTTTTTTCTTTGGCACTCTGGTAAAGCATATGGGTTTCTTTCAATGTATAAGATGAGTAGTAAATGTATAAAATAAAGTACACAGTCTCACAAAAGTACCAAGTAGGAGTTACCACAAACACTTCCTTAATAAATAAATCTGTGACTAGTCAATCTATGTTTCTCTAAATAACAGGTTGTAGTGCCAGGATTAATGATGACCACGATTTTAAAATAATAATGACAGTAACTGGTATATAGAGATATCTGTCAGGGCTATAGTGTAACACAAAAATATCTGTGATTATCTTTAGCGACAAAGTCCTATATAGTGCTACTCCTGTAGCCTGTAACTTCTGTTCATAACTGAAGAGAAAGCTAAATTTTACTTAGGCTAGTGAAAATAAATATCAATTTTTCTTTTCATCTTAGTTCACAGAAGCCTCTCCTTGATTTAAAAAGAACCTGGGTTAAGAATCCCTTTCTCTGTTTCCTCCTTGGGGGCCAGATGAGGTTACCCTGAGGGTTGGCTGTCGAGGGCAATGAGGAGCACCTACTAGGACCCCCACCTACTCACATGTAAGCCTTGTAGTTGTTGCCGATCTTCTGGACTCGGATGTCATACTTGGCGTCAATGAAGGGCTCTGCTGTGGCATAGGTCTGGGTGAGGGCCACCACACTAGCGATGTCCTGGAAGTCATAGTGGTTTTCCACTTTGACCTAGGTTGGAGTAAGGCAGAGAGGGAGAAGGGGGGGTATATACATATACACGCCGAGAAGTCACAAGGGCCTAGAGCTTCAAGCCTATCACGATGCTTCTGATCCAGGCACAAACATGGGTGCCACATCTCTGGACGCCCCTGCTCTCTAGCTTCCCTCCCCAGCACTCGGGGTCACACTTCTCGAAAGTACCCAAGGAATCAATCAGGTGACCTATTCTCTGCTTGCTGAAAGAGGCTGAGAAGCTCTCCTTCAAAGGGGCCAGATCCTCTCCTTGGAAAGAATTCAGCCGCAGAGGAAGATGAGCACTCCACGGATGGGCTTTCTGAGAGAAACCTAGGGTATCAGAGGTCCCTCTGCCTTACCTTGCCCATGCCCGAGTGAGCGTGACCGATCTTCACCACCACAGGGAATGTGGGCAGCGTCAGCTGAGAGCACAGAAGAGAAGGACAAACTAGTCAGCATGTGCCTGTCTCTGTAGAATCCTACAAATGCTTTCCTTGGGAACACCTCTCAGGGGGCCCTTCAAACCACCTGCTTGCTTTATCAATTAAAAGAGTGAGTCCACAGAATGTCAGTGATTTTCCCAAAGGCAAAATGTTAGAGGCAGGGTGAGAAGAGTCCTGTTCTCCTGTTTGGTACTTTCTATGTCTCATTGTTTCGACACACTCTGCATTAGACAAACCCTGGGCAGGAGTGGCTGTCAGAGATTTTTTTTTTTAAATGTACCTTTGAAAGGCTAAATTTAACTGTATATAAATTGGACCTTAATAAACCTGAAGGGTTTTTTTTAATCCTTTTTTTTTCAGTGATATTTGAAATGGAATACAGCACCTCACGCATTCTAGACAAATGTTCTGCCACTGGGCCACACCCCAGCCTCTTTGGCCTCTTAATGTCCCTTGTACCCTGCACCTCTTAGTACTTGCCCCCTTCAACACCCAGCTTTCCTGCACTGAGCTGCGGTCCTTGTCCTCTCTGATATCCCTGCTCAGCAGCACCACAAACTCAGTCAAACTCAGCTTAGTGTGTAAGGCCTACTTCCAACCTACTTGGGGTCTAGAAGAGAGCTGATGTAAGAATTCCACATGTTTATCCTTGGAAAGAGACTTTCATGAAAAGTAAACTTCACCTTGAGGTAGCCCTGTTTTTTTTTTTTTTTTTTTTTTTTT